TTTTACATTTTTATATTTTTGCAATAAATGGTTGAATTGTTTTTTCCAAGCAGCGGTTTGTCCTCATTGGGACCCCTTGACCAATGGGATCTCATTCCCTTGGTTCTCTCCCCTTTATATGCTCATGATTGGTTCCGAGGACACCACTTTATGTTATTCACAAGTAAGTCAGCTATAATGCAATCAATTAATTTGGGGTTATCCTTTTGAAACCCTGTTGTTTACATTTCACCACTATTTATGGTTTAGGGCATCCCAGTTTTTTATTTTTGTTATTAAAGCACTGTTTTATCCCAGAAGGCCTAAGGCAAACTACTACCAGAATGTCAAAAGTCTCAGTTCTTCCTGTAAGAGTTGGGCTGAAGATTAGGCGAACAGATATGTAGCCCTCATATGGACACTTCTGTGTCCTGATTCCCCAAATCTCTAACTCTTCTAACTTCCATATGGGTATGTGTTTCAAGTGCTTGTCATAAAAGTTCCTATACAGAAGGGATACCTGGGCCCCAGTATCCAGCAAAGCTTTGGTGTACACTCCCTCCACTTGAATAGAGGCCATGGGTGATGGGCCTACTAGTTCATCTGGAAGCCTTTCTGGCTGAGGCTTTGCACTTCTTATCCAGGCTTTTCCAGGTTGAGTTGCTCATTTCCTAGCCAATGTCTTTCCCAGCTTTCTAGAGTGGCATGTATCGATTCCCTGTATCAAGGGCCCAGTTAATGGAGTTGGGAGTTGAACTGGCTCTAGGGGACAACTAATGGCAGATGTCTGAATGGTTTTGGTCTCTAAGGTCTGTGTTCCTTGAGAAGTGGACATCACTGCTTCCTTTGGGCCCGCAGTTGACTCCTTCACTGAGGCCCCTCAAGTTTCCCGCCAACTTTGGGAAGAACAGCTTCTTTAAGGCTTGCACTACTTCGGCAGTAAGATCTGCCATTGACTCATTCTGTGGGCATTGGGTCTGAAAGTGTCCTGGTTCTCCACACTGGAAACAGCGCCTGGTGTATCCAGGGATGAATTCTCCTTTGTCTGCTGCCATCGTAGACACTTCTGTCCCATTTCTGACATGGCTTTCTGCATAGCAATATGGGCTTCCATGACTTGTCCTACTGTTTTTTGAACTTCACAAAAAGACTGTTGGATCATGGTTTGGGCTTGAGCTAGCTGTGATAGAGTCTGTACTATATTGTCTATTGGAGCTATAGTTTGCATAAAATCAAATTGAATTATTATGGCGCCTAGTGAAAACGTGCTAAATAATAATAATGTGCCCACTCTGTGACAACAATGTGTATTTGCAGCTGCCCCTAAAAAGTGAATTAACATTTATACAGGTACCAACTGTGAATAGGTAGCTGCTATGCAACAAAAAGATATACAAAAGGAGAAAACAAACGATCCCACCATCTCTCCATCTCTATGTTTTTGCAAACCAATAACACTAGATATGGTACTATGTCCTCCCAGTATAGTGTTAATCAATAAATGTCCATACAAATAATAATGTCAATACAAATAATAAACATGATAACAAATTTGATAGTAACAGTCCTTTTGGGACACAGTGCTGTAAACCATATGTCCATAAATCTTCACCACATGCCAGTGAAATTAAGTGAATTACTCACTCACCAGACCTTTTTGACCCCGGTTAAGATGGTCAAGGGCGCATTTTGATAGTATATGCTTTAGCGTCCACCTCTGGTTATCCTAGGATGTTCCTCCCAATCACCAACACACCGCAGGACATGACCCAAGGAAATGGTATTTAGGATTACCAATAAACTCTTCAATGAAATAGATGCTCTATGACAGGTTCTCCTTGTCGTATGAGAATTGTTTCCAAGCCACTCAAATAAACCAAATAGATTTAGGCGTTCTAAGTGTAGGATTTATTAATAAAATTAATAAATAAAAGAAAGCTATGCACTCACATGTACAGGTGGCTAGTATACTGGCACCAGTATGTACAGCCTATGAAATCCATAAATGGCAGACATGTGTGCCAATCCTTGCTCTCGCTAGGGCCGGACGTCATGTCACTGGAACCCGGAAGTGATGGAATCAAGCCTTCAGGCCCTGGAGGGCCTAGTAAACCCAAGTGTCAAAGTCATCCTCCCCTAGGAGAGTGGGTGCCTTACCTGACAAGAACCTCAGTCTTCTGTAGTTATGACTGGTGATGGAAGTGGAGTTTTTTTAACAGAGTCTCTATAAATGTTTGCAATTCAGCCAGTGTGTTAGCAGGTGTGCCCCTGACAGCATCTGCCAAGGTAGATGGCTCAGGCTCAGATGTCCTTTTTTTTTTTACTCTCCATCCTGGTATCTGGGCTGCAACGGCTGGGCTATCTGTTTCAGTCAGATGTACACTTCCTTCTTTAAGTGGGGAGGGGCCCCTTTTTCCATTCTGTCAACACCAGCACATTGGATGTATCTGGACTGTCTTTTATGTCTATGATGCTTACTCTCTGATCAGGAAGGCAGGTTATCAGCATTTGATCAAGTTATCCTTCAGTTCAGTCACCCCCTGGGAGGCTTAGGACCACACATAGATCTGTTCTTTCATTTTCTTCCTGGCACCACACAGTGATGCGTGCTTCCTTCATGGGGTTCACAGGCTCTTTGAACAGGGAAATCCTGGACAAGCTTCCACATGTAACATTACCCCCACAGGGGCTGCTGAGTAATTTTTAGGTTCCCTGTCTCTCCTAACCTTGCTCTGGAAGCCCAACCCCTGCTGATGCCACCATAACCTTCTGATTAGAGGAACTGGCTGCAAGCACAAAATAGACTCACAGTTTAGAGTGAACTGATATCTTGATTGTATTGAAGTCAAATGTATGCACAGTAATACATAAGAAAATAATGAAATAATAACTGTCACTCTTAGTAACTTTAAGTAAAGGTCACAACACAGCGCAATCTCAATCAGTTTTAGATGTACAGCAATTCAGAATTTAAATGATGGCCCGGTCCTGAGATGTTTCTTTCCCAGTGAGCTATTAAAGAAAAAAAAAAACTAACTAAGTAGAAAGGCTCACTCACTTTGGGCTCTCAGTGACGGATGACTGAGTTTAATTCTGAAGAAAGAAGAGCTCTTCATTTAGATAGGCCAATGTCCTTTATTAAACTGCAGTACCTGATTTTCGATGGGGTCCTAGTTTGCACACATGAGGATGTAAATCTTCCTTGCAGCAAAGGTAGAAGTTCCTTAATGTAGAGTGGACACTAGGGAATGGAACTGCCATCTAAGTAATATTGACTTTTGAATAGTACCCCTTTAGCACACACGGGGTGAGATGTAAGATTAGGCGATTATTAAAGATTAAAAGACTAACAAAATGAGCTGCTGTAGGGAGACGTCATTCTTTGGATCTCAGTGGCAAACTGTAACAATAAGGGAGTTCCTTGGTGAATGAAGCAGGCTGCAGTGGAAGCAAGAATACAGCTTGGCCTGCAGAGGGCAGATGTTGCAATAAGCTCTTGTGACTGGATATGCTGGAAGTGTGATAAGTGTGACAATCCAGGCCTTAACATATGTAACTTGAGAAACGGTAGCAGTCAACTGAATAAAAAGTAGCTGAATTTGGTAATGTCCACTTGTAATGTACACTTTAGATAGTTTGAATATGAGATGAGACTCTCTCACTCGATCTGTGGCCTCGGTCAGGCAGTGGATGATCTCTATGTAGTTGGGGGCCCCCTGGGTGCTTGTGGTTCCTCTGGCAGAGATCACTTTGGACAACAGCCTTCCGGTCCGCCTGCTCACAGGGATATCTGCCGGACTCGTCAGCAGCAACATCGGTCAGCGATTCTCTCTTTCTCCTTCAGTCTTTGCGACTAGCCCCCTCTTGGACCTCCAACGTTCCCCACAGTCCTTTCATCGCACCTGCTCTCTAACTCTTCTCCCTCCACTTCCTGTCCTGAGTTTCTGGGCTTCTGTATTTATTTGCCCATCCGCCAGATCCTGTGGGAAATGTAGTTTACCAGCCTGCTGCAGTGAAGTCCTGCAATTCAGCCTACAATGCTTTTCAACAGGGTCTGTACATCTGGGCTGCAAGACATTGCCATCTTGTGTCCATTTAACATCCTGAAACCAGTATTAAACTGAATGGATTGTTTTACAAGCTGAGGGTTTACAATCACATTAATTGCTTACCTTCTGGTATGCTCTGGTGACACCTAGGAAGGGAATTTTTACTGAAAAACGAAGTCTCAGAACTGTTTTGTTATTAGTTATATTACTTCTGTGAAGTGTGTCATATTTCAGAGGTGCACAATAAATTCCATCAGCATCCTGTGACTGTTTGAGTGGATATTGCTTTGCTATATTGTCTAGCCTTCCCCTAACAAAGTATTATGTTTACAGGCCAAATCCAAAGTACCCAGAGAAAACCATTGTGAGATGGTAATCGTTTATGAAATCAAGCATTGCAATACTATTGGGTTATTCACCAAGCAATAATGCTGCCCAACACTTATGTTTTCTACAATGTTCCACATCAACCTTGGAAATAAGCACCAATCTGATTGACTGCAATTGTGTTTACAATAATGGAACTTGTGAACCTGGGCCTTGGACAACAATGTTATAGGCAGCACCAAGCCTCCAATTGTACAAAATGTATTAACTTTTTGTTTCTTTTGTTTCACTCCACTGTCATCTCTAGACATTTGTGAGTAAATTGAGTATGAGAACTGTAGGGTAAGAGAACACAGGAAATATTGAGAATTAGAGGAACAATTTGAAGTTTAGGAAATATGAAACCATACAGCTGAAAAGTAGTGATGGGCCGAACACCCCCTTGTTTGGTTCGCAGTTGAACATTCGAACCTAATGAAAGTTTGAGGTCAAAGTGCAAACAGAAGGCACAATTCACTACTAAGCGGTATCTTACCGCATCTGAGTATATGGTAAGATACCGCACATCTACTAAAATACTGCATGGGTTATATTAAGTCATGTTGTATTTTAGTAGTGAAAACATTCTTTAATGTGTTACTAATCCCAGGACCCTGCATTTGCTATATCTGGTCTCCCACAGTACAGAGAACATGGAAATGCAATTATTTTAGTAAATATAAACTGCTAAATACCTTTTCTCATCAGCAGTTAGAACAGTCTTGTGACTTCTATCAGTGTTCATCAAAGCACTGGTTAAAGCTTGCAGGAAGAATCTTCTCTAGGAGGATGCAGAACCCCTGACCTCTGTCTTGGCAGTGCTGATTGGCCCTGTGCTGATCACATGAACATGTCTCCACACGATATGTCTTATCAAGAGATAAGAGGGAGACACTGGAAGAATGGGAGGATCAGATAAATTAGGATCAAACAGCATTTTTACACAATGCAGTGGATTAACCTCTTAGGTTCCACAGTGAGTATAACAAGCATGCTTTACTCCATATACAGACTGAGTTTACTGTTGTGGGTTTAGTAACACTTTAATGTTTCAGCTGTCAGCGATGTTCCTCACTGACAGATGAATGTAAAAAGAATTGCCGGCATTGCCCAGCAATTACATTTTTTTTAAATGCATGAGGTCCCCCCCCCCAAGCCCTTTGGGTCTGGTATGGTTTGTGAAGGGAACCCCCATGCCAAAATCTAAAAAAAAAAAAAAGACATGGGGTCTCCCCAAAAATCCTTTCCAGACCCTTATCTGAGTATGCAGTCTGGCAGGACAGGAAAGGTGGGGTAAGAGTGAGTGCTCCCCCCTCCTAAACCATACCAGCCACGTGCCCTCAACATGGGGAGGCAGGGGGGCTCCCCCCCAAAGCACCTTGTCCCAATGTTGATGGGGACAAGGGCCTCTTGCCCACAACTATGGCCGGTTGTTGTGGGGGTTTGTGGGCAGGGGGCTTATCGGAATCTGGAAGCCCCTTTAACATTAGAGCCCCCCCATGTGAATGAGTATGGGGTACATGGTACAGCTACTCATTCACAAAAAAGTGTAGTGTAAAAATGACAGAAGACAGTCTTTGACAAGTCCTTTATTAAAAACAAAAATTAAAAAAATGTCCCCCCGAAGTAGATCCAACATCACCCATGATGCCTACCATCATTGCCAAACAGAAAAAAGAAAAAAAAAACACTCCACGCTCAATGCTGGCTCCCGCCATCTGACAGCTGCACTAGGATGACAGTTATTAAATACTGTGTTGACATCACAAAGGGTGAGTTCACCCCACCTCCTTGTGACATTATCATGCACTGTGATTGGCCAAAGCATTGCACCTGACCTGTGGTCAAGTGCATTGCTTTGGCCAATCACAATACACTGTCAGAGCACAGTGCATAGTGGTGTGCGGTGGGTGGTCTGCCCACCGAACGCCCTTACCGTTCGTGTGTTTGCCGAACACACAATCAGCCAATGTTCAAGTCGAACTTCGACTCGAACATCAAGCCCATCACTATTGAAAAGTAGTTTTCCATGTAAAGCAAACTCAGTGTTACCTCCAATTGCATGCTCCTTGGGTTAAAGCATAAAGCCTTGGGTTGAAGCATATTTTTGCATACACAATATTACTGAATAAACTTCTGAATAATAATTTTAATTTATGTCAGTAAAAAAGAACCTTACCGGCCTACAAGTTTTGATACTAAAAGCAGTATTTACAGTTGATAGATTTAATTGGTAAAATGCCTATACTTGCAGTGAAAAGATTTCTGAAATGATATTAAATATCTGATTTGCAACACCCACAGCTTGAACTTTCAGTTTTAAAATACTACATTATGATATTGGTGGTAATACATCAGATTGCTTAGGATGCAACAGAAGAAGCCTCAACATGTCAAGTGGTTAGGGCAGCTCATGAATTGATAAGCAAAAACAGATAGATGTAGTGTACATATTTACAACATCAAAATAGTGCTTAAATCCCAGTAAGAACAATAAAACTCTAGACCTTTCATCATTATTCAAGGCCAGATATGGCTGATTTATAACGTTAATAAGTATGTGTGTTGTGTGCCTGTGTCAGTTGTTCAGAATGCATGATTCATAAGCAGTAACCTGGTGTACACAGAGACCTCACTAAGCCTGCAAGAGAAAATAATCATGAGACAATTCTGCATTATGCTTCATGCTAGTGAGATGCAAATTACTGTGTCAGTAGCAACAGCAGCTACAAATTTCAGAGACGCTGCGTGATTTCAAAACACTTTAAAGGCAGAGGAAGGCTGGAACTCTCCTGTGAATGTGTAGCCAAGACTTCACTTAGGGGGTTAAAGACTATTTCAGAAAAAAAATTCCTTTAAATCTGCTCTGTACGATTTGTCCAAATGCGCTCAGGGCAACTGCAAAGTATTTTTGGCCAATTTTACAGTATGACCTGCAGCTATCTGTAAATAATCCCCTAGCCTCTCTGAAATAAATCTTCCTGAAATACCAAGGAACATATTGAACCCTCTGGAATAGATTAGAATTTGGCTTGTTATACAGCGGCATGTAAATCAGATATTCTGTGGGTGACCATACACTCGCTATATAATTTATGGGTGTGCAAGAAGTGATTTTGTGCATTGATCATGTTTCTGTGATTTAAAAGGACTCTAGGTTGCTAGGCATGAATACTTGATCTTCCCTCTTCATGTAACAGTTACTTATAATAGGGCCAGATAGCAGAGCAAACAATAACACAAGCCTCAAATTCAATCCAGTTATGTCTAAAAGACACTCTCACTGCTGATATATTTTAGAACATACCCCATTCTTCTCCAGAGGCTGGTGATATAGCTTTTCTCTCATTCTTTGTATCACAAATTGACTTTAAAGTAACTTTTCAACACCATAAATTCAGCACAAAGGAAGTTATTCTTTTGCAGGAAGTCGAACATGGAAATAAGATGAGAAGTTTTACTTGTTCCATTGTGTTGAGTTCGTTTTAAGCCTGGACGTGATTTGTAAGCCCTAAAAAAAAGTTGCAAAAAGAGAAAAAGGCACCAAAAGAAAAGACATATTAGCACAGAATGTTTGAGGCTCGTATGGGGTGCCTATTGTTGAGTGCACAATGACTGTACTTCTTAAAACTAGTCTAGACTCTAGCTAACTTCCTCTGGGGTCTTTCCACACACATACACATTGACCCAAAATTCAAATTGTGTATGTTAAAGTCAAACCTTTTCTGACACCTCTTCATTATCTTTAACTCTTTTCCACTTTTCTTCCCAACATCCGCCCCTATATTCTTTCATGAGCTCTGCTTATCACTCCTTTTTTTTTTTTCTTTTTTTGTTCTTCCTTTTTTCTCTTCCCTTTTTTTTGATTCCTTCATTTCTGCCCCTCCCTTTTGTATTCCCCACTTCTTTGCCCCCCCTCTTTCCTTCCCCCTCCTTTTCCATTTCCCTCCCCCTCCTTTTTCATTAAACTTTTGAATTCCACTTATTGGTTTAAAGAGCCTTTTTTACATATTTAAACAGTCATTTCCTTAACTTTTGCCTATTATATGACTCATCTTCACCCATCAATGGTTTTCATTTTTCTAATAATGTACAGGGTGTCCCTAAAGTCTGGACACATAGGAAATATCACTATATGTGTATACTATAGATGTGTATAGTATATCACTATCTAAGCTCACCAGACCTTAACCCCCTTGACTTCTTTTTTTGGGGTATGCTAAAGGAGAAGGTGCACTCAATGAAATGCATAGATATAATCCACCTGAAGAAACGCATCATGAAAGAATGTGCTCAAATTGATGGAAATGTGAAGCTACTGCATCGAGTTCATGTGACTCTTGCAAAGCGCATGGAACTTTGCATCACAAATGGTGAAAATCACATTGAATAATTTATTGATTAATATTCCAATGAAATAAAACGTGTTGAAAAATGTATTGAACATTTATTATGCCTATGTGTTCAGACTTTACGGACACCCTGTAGTTTATTGTTTTTGGTACTAATGTTTTTGATACAATAACAAAAATTCAGTGAAACAAATATATAACCTGCAACAAACATAGTATCAACTTTGTGCACCATTGTGTTAAATGATTACTATCTTTGATGGAACATGTGACAGTATGACCTTAAAATGTGCTGATTAATCACAAGTGTTGGTATATAAGACTTTCAACCCTTCAATTTCTTATTGCCTTTGTGATTAAGCCCTGGATTGGGGGACAATACGTCAGAGTAGGAGTATCTGCTGTGCATCGGGATGTTGTTGCTCAGTGGCTAATATGTTTTTATTGTAAAAGTAAGTGGTGCACCCTTTCCTTTACATGGTGAATATGATTCAGGTTGGAGACATATTCTATTGGGTCTTGGACACCCACAGCTGATCCAATTATAAACACATTGTCAAACTGAGAGGGGAGATGCTAGTTGCTTGGCTGACATGCTGACCCTCTAGATTCAGTATTTTTAGTCACTGGACTGACATGACATGTACAGTATGCAGACCAAGAGTCAGAGGAAAATCAGATGTCCTTATCTAAATACTGTTAAGTTTCAAGCTAGGGACAGAATTGTTTAAGCCAGTTGATCACCATGATAACCAGGTAAGCCTCATTGTCTCTCTCAGGAAAGAGAGCACATAGGAACCAGTTATGTTACTCTGCTTATTAAGCTCTGCTTATTCATTGCTGATTACATCATAGTTGCTCTGTGTTGATGTTACCATGCTGTATCCATGGAAGCTTCAGTTACAGGAAAACTGCTCTTTTGTTGGAAAATCAATAAAAACAATATAATTAATAATATGCCATATTTAAGAGAGAGGGGCTGCAATATCTGCAATAGCAGACATTCTTCTGAAAATTCTAGTTGAATGACTGTAATGATGTCTCACTAGCTTTAGGAGTGTATAGGAGTGTATAATGTTTTTCTACATTTATTAGAAATGTATCTATTATGGTCAGGATTAAAAAATAATGTAAAAATATTCTACTTTTTTAGTTTGGGTAAATATGAAAAATTACATAGCAATACTAAGTAGTCTATTATTCAGTCAAGGTGTACCCTATTTTCCCTTCGCAACCTGATTTGATATCACCCGGCTGCGCTAAACAAAGCCTGCTCACAAAGTGAATCTTTACAGTGACTAGTCCTTTATTAGATGTCTTATTCAAACAGTTTAATCATTCATACAGAGCCTTAAAGCAATCCTCAATAGCTCTGCTGTCTCTTTAGATAACCCATAGCGCTCTGAGAAGCATTGGTCATGTATTAAAATTCTTAATTGTAAAATAAAGGTTGTAGATATAGAACAATAAAAGAGAAACCACAACAATTTAAAAACGTACGAACTAAAAAAAA